AGTGGACCAAGGCCTCAGCCTCTCTCTGCAGAAACAAAGCACTTGTTGAAACACTGGACCTTTTTTGCAATTTCACTTATTTGATTTAAATTGTTAATGTTGATGTTGCTATTGTCATAATTTAAAAAGGGAAGGGCTACACATCCAGTGAAGACACTCTGTGTATTTGGTGTTTCTGATGCCAGCTGTTTTTTTGCCAAAAGTAAAATAGTTCTTTTGTTACAATTCTAAGTTATTTCTAATGATATTTAAGTGTATTTATGTTTCATTTTTTTACATAAACTATTTGCAAGAATCTGAATACAACATATACACATATGTATTGCTGTCAATAAAAAGTATTTTTGGAGCCAGACCTACTTGTGTTTTCTAGTTTTTTTCCAATTCTGGAAATTTTAGCAGAGCAGAGCTGCATTCTGACCTTCAGCAGTTGTAAAAGAGGAGTCACGTGCAGATCACAGGGGTCATGTTGGCCTCTGTGGCCTCGGTGCCATCTCTGAGCTGAAGAGAACAATAATCCTCACCCCGCATGAGCTTCTGCCTCGGTCAGCAGGAACAGGTTCATTCATCCACACAGGTTCCCTTTTCACCAATTCTCAGTGATTTGCTGGAGAGTTTAGTGTGCATTTTCACCAGCTGACTTCCTGGGGGGAAAAAAGCATGTGACAATTGGACGCATGCTGCAGAGTTAAATACGGAATGTGAAATTTGATTAACTAAATTTCACATATTGTAATACAAAGAAAATTCATATTAGAAGAGTGTAGTTTGTTAAATTCAGTGTGTGAGGTTACATGAGCTGTTTCTATGCTAGTTGTTGCTAACGCCCTCTGCACTCTGTTCCCAGTCCACATGACTGGAACAACTTTTAAATAATGAAGGCATTGGCATGCAATGCAATCTTGTGCAAGACGGTTAGCCCCCCCCCTCCTCCTCTTCCAACTGTGTCTCACACACAGGTGATCTCTGCGGAGTGGAATGTCAGTGATGTCACCGGGTAGATGCAAGGCACGAAATCCCCTCGGAAAGTGCAGCGTCATGGTCACGGGTAGAGAGGAGGCAAAGGCTGACCTCGGGTTGTGCAACCCAGATCAGATTCTCATGTGAGACAGACCATGTGACTATATTTCATATTGCTCAATCTAATGATCCATTCATTCAAAGATAAAAACTTTTTTGCAGTTATTTATTTATTTCTAACTTGCCCTTATTGTCCTTTGGTTTCTGGGAAATCATCTGGAAAGTTTTCCCAGTACATGTTTTTTTCATCCGGTGCTGAACCAGAAGCTCAAAAACTGTTTTCTTGAAAATCAAGACAAGCAGGTATTAAAATGGTTGGATGGATGAGACTGAAAGTGCCATTACACCTACTTTTACTTCTGTCAACATGTTTGCTTTCACATAACACACAGGCAGAACTAATTCATGTGTGTAAATCCAGAGCTTAAAGGACATACAGTAAATAAATAAACACCAATACATAATGGCATGATTGAAACACATTCAAACCCTCATTCATTACCCGAGTCTGCTAAGGTTTCACTGTGCACTGTGTGAAAGGTTGTCAAACTTGTGACTGTTATGTATGACTCCATAGTGTTGTAATGTGGCATTGTTGTGATCGGAGGGAAAAGGTTATTTTAAGATTGGCGCCGGGCTGATGTAAGCGCTGTGAAGCCACTTTGACCTTCCAGCAAAGAGTCTGAGGTCTGTGTGACACCATCAACGTGCCGGCTGGTTGTAGTGTAGGTCAAAGGTGGTGAGCAGTGTTTAGGGAGAAGAATTCCATGATCTGATAAGTCACAATGCACTTTATATTGTCATATACAGTTCAAACTGGGAACACGTTGCTTAACATTTAAGAGAGAAAAATAATGTATGCAGCTTCGTATCATACTGTCATTGTGCCTCAGATTAAGAGCATACAGAGCTCAGTGCATTGTGGGAGGGAGAAGGTAAATATCAGGTTAAGATAACACTGTTGAAGAATTATGAAAAATCAAGCATGAAATACATTCTCACACGCAGCTCACACCGACACAGTCCAACACAATGGTGCTGCAATAAATCCCTCATGAGGATTACAGATATACAGTCTATTTTAAGGTGGAATTTCCTGTTAGGTTTGCAGATAATAGCTGAAAGAGGACAAAGGCATTCAGATCCTTAACTGAAGTAATAGTACTTACTTCAAAATACTTGGTATATGCCCAAGTATTACCTTCCTTGTGCAGCAATCAGTGTTGGAGGAAGTACTTAAAAGTAAAAGTACAAATTAATATACAAAATGTACTCAAGTAAAAGTACCACATTAACTTTAATATTTTAGCAAAAGTAAGTACTTGCTTTTAAATATACATAAAGTATTAAAAGTGAAAGTAATTGCTGAGAGGAGCCTATGAGTTTAGTACAGTAAATGTACTCTGTCCAAGTAGGATTTCAAAGGCTCTCTGATTTTACAACTTTATTATTCTTACTAGTGCAAGAAGTGGTGACTTCATATTAAGTTCAGAAATGCATTTGCATATCTCTATCCTGAATATGTCTCATCAGCAGGACAGACATAGAATCTTAAAATCTGTCGTGGAGTAAAAAGTGTAATATTTCTAACTTAAACCGGTTTGAATAGAAGTGTAAAGAAGCATCAGTCAGAAGGTGCCTGATAAGCAAGTTGCATAAATGTGTAACTGTCCCATCGTCTTATGTCTGTAAGATATAAATAAAATGTGACACTGCATTGGCTGCAAATGTGACTACAGCGTGAAAATAGGAAGATATATTTCTGTAAGCTGCTGGGTCTACTGGAGCAACAGAGGTGCCACTGCTGCCCAGCTCCATCCGCCCAAACCCACAACCCACAATCCTCACCCGCTGGTCCTCCCTCCCCTTCCTCTCCCCCACATCAGCACATTCCTACGCACTGACACTGTAACTGCCAGGACAGATTGTCATGGTGAGGCAAATGGTCAGCGACCTGGGCTGGTTGGACTGCCAGCCACTGGACATATGCCCCCCCCTGTGATTCTCACATTGCTGCACAATGACAAACTGGGATTAACTGCAGAGGCTGTCCCCTGGGGAGTGGGGGCTCCAGGGGCATTCATGCCTACAGGGAATGTCCAGACTGTCTGCATCATATTCACACAGAACAAGAATACCTCCGGGGGTGTAAGCAATTCTTTCAAATGAAGTTGACAGAAAGTTAGCGCACCTGGTTTTATCTGCAGGGACATGTGATCCTTCCTCAATAAGAGCTCCAGCTGTGACACAAGCACAAGAGAAAAGTCAAGTCTATTTGTATTTTGGTAAATGTGAACAATAAATAATGGCCATTATTCGTCTATTTTAAGTGTCAGAAGTGTCTCATCTCATTGTGTATTTCTGCAGTTATTACAATAGGTGATAATTAGTGTTATTCCTGTGTGAATTCCCACTGTGATCAGCAGCAGCTGCACAGAAACAAGGTCAGAGTGAGAGGAGCGGCCACACACAGAGAGGGAAAACAGACTCTCAGGCTGAGCAGACGTTTTACCAAAATAGTTAGTCTTCTCTCGAAGAGCGGAGATCAGGTTTTGGTGCTTTCTATATTTAGCTCTCTTGTGTTCTCTCTAACTGTGAGAGGCCTAACCTCCCTCCTCTCCCGGGCGTGATAAAAATAAACTACTAATGAGAGGAAATGGTACCAGATACACTGTGAGCAGATCTCTCTGGCCCAGCTCCCTCTGAACACACGAATGTGTCAATGTCAGGACTGGTTGAAGGTGGTATCAAGACAAAAGTCAACACAAGTACAAATCTTCTGACTGTGCAGCACAACACATCTTTATTGAGAGATTAGTACAGTACTGTACTTTAGGAATGCTCCACTTTAACAATCTTAGATGAGTCTTCATACAAAGGTTGATGTATTAATAAAGACATTTATGAAAATGCAGATTTAAACAGGTTTCAATAGTTCGATAAGGCCGTTACAGGGTGAGACATGACACAGCAGTGGTGATTTTTTTTTAGGTGTACAAGCTTTATTGCAATAAAAAGAACCGACTGTTAGAGATGAGATCACAAAAAACGCAATTGGATTATAACACTAGATTTTACTGATGTGAAGACCTGAGGGTGGAGAAGGCAACAATACCAAACCTGCTGAAAAGTGTAGACAGAAAGAGATGGCACAACACATCACTTTTAACTCCCAGGTTAAACACATCTTTTTAATTTCAAAGAAAATATTCCCATTAAGATTGTCCTTCATGACACAAGGCAAATGTAAGTAAGGCTTTAGAGTGTAAGGACATTGGAATTCAGAATATCCAGAATATTCCACTTTAGGACATGTCAGGCTGAAGATTTAAGACCCACAGCAACACAAATGTTACGGTTCAAAACAAAAAGAGAAATAAAACTTTGAGACAGTGGTTTAATCAATAAAAGACACGACCACGGACGGCAATACTTGCACCAAGAACACAACAATGTGCACATTCGATAAGTCACTTGTTTTAATGAGGAATTACGTGTAACACATCAGCTTTCTAAAAATATCGTACCACAGACAGTTATCAGAGGGAACTGATAAAATATTCAGACACACAATAAAATGTTATCAAATGCAGAATCATTGGTTTGGCTTGGCCCCAAGATCTTCATTACACAGAGAGACATGAAATTAAATGTAAGCACCACATTAATATGATGAAGCATTTTCACTAAAGCTTCATTCACTCTGTATGTTGTGTAGCAAAAGCATCACAGCACTCGGGTCATTTTATCCTGATGGCTTGAATCTGAATCTATTAGAGTATTAGAGTCATGTGAAAGAAAAAAGTTTCAGAGATTTCCAGAATAAAGTCATAATTAAGAAGAAACTCAAAATTTTAAGAGAAAAAAGATGTAAAATTATGAGAATAAAGAAAAACCTTTTTCAGGCATAACCAGAAAAGAAAACCTTCCCTCAAGTCTGTGTGGTTCCTTCTTCGAAATACACTTATATTGCACTATATATAAGTATAACTTATAACAAGATACTCCACATCTCCCTCAAACATGAAACGCTGCCTAAAAACTTATTCTAGAAAAATTACAACTTAATTCTAGTAAAAGTCAGATTCTTCAACATGACGCTTATACACTTTCAGAGAACATAGGGATTAAAGATAATATGGGACCCGGTGCTTGATTGAATCAGCTGAAGACAACACTGTATCATGGTGACCATATTGCAAATAACAGACAGGAAGCTGGTGAAATAAGTGATGGGTGGCAGAATACTTTGATTTACTGTAGTTTGAATTTACTGCCCTAATCAAAGATACATAATGGTAACATTTGAGTAGAAGACCAATGTAAACCTTGTATTCAAATCTGTAACATACTGTTGGGAGAAATGATTATCCATCTTGGAATAAACTTCTCAAGGACGGGAGGGAAACGTTGACTGTATGAAATCAGAAAGGCAACAACAGCTACATGCTAGTACAGATGAGACTGTGTGTGCGACAGATGATGGACAAAATCCACCACTGAGGAAAGTCAGAGCTGTTCACGTATTCAGAAAACAGCATCTGCGGTCGATGATTATGTACCTGATGCCATCACAACTCATGCAGCCAAAGACTCATCGGTGGTCAGAGCTCGAGCTGTGCCGTGGTCAATCGTTTCAGTGAATAATACCAATATGTGGCCAACAGTGCAGCCACAGAACACCTCATTATTTAAGACCTTTGAGAAAATCCCTCACACCTCCCAAAACAAAGACATACAGCAACATTAATGAGCAAAAATAAACACATAAGAGGCTAAGTGGCATCCACTACAATATAGTGCAGGGTTTTTTGTCCTTGAAGGGATTGTCTGAGGCAGGGATGCCCATGAGGAGAGGGTCGTTCCTCGCATGGTCGCTGCAGTAGTTCATGAGGTCTGCAGAGGCCTTGGAAACCTACAGAAACAACACAGAGGAGCACAAGAGGGTGGGTGCCAGGTTGTGATCTCGTGCCTCCAGTTTTAATGCACAAATCCTCCAATCCAGAGGTTAATAGAACTGGTGTGTGTAACTTTTTAAGAATTAGACAATTATAAACAGGGTTTTCAAAGTTTCAGACATTGGCACTTCCCATGAATGTAAGAGCAGCCATCACTGGATAACTATGACACTAAAGAAAACTTAAAAATGTGATGATCCTCAGGCAGGTTCTGGAGATGTAAGGAGCTTCTTTGATTTATGAGCAGGTTTCTTGATATCTATATTTAGTAGATGTGAGTTGTAATGTTATCACTAAAAATCCTGCACCACACTGAATCTAGAAATGAGTGTATGCTCTGATTTGTTAGGATTCCAAAAATGAGAGTGAATTATCATACGACTGATCTAAAGTATGTTCAGAAAAGGAAAAAACAGTCAGACGTAATCTGTCTCACTCTTATAACAAAATCATTTTTCTCAGAGACACAAAGCTCTGAGTGCAAAAGCAAATATGATTGAATTTTTTCAATTGAACAGGTTAAATCCTAAATGGCAAATGGGAGGGAATTTATATCAAGCTTTTCTATTCTTATAAAACCACTCAAAGCACTTAACAGTACAAGTCACACACACATTCATACTCTGCTTCTATAGGCAGCACTTTTTCTATCCTAAAACGTTCACACACTGTCCAGTAGTTCTGCCCAAAGACACTACGGCATGAGGACATGCAGAGCCATCAATCCAACCGCCAACTCTCCAGTTGGTGGACGACCCGCTCTACCTTCTGAGCACAGTTTTTAAGTTCCCAGCAAACGGATACATTTATAATATATAGATAGGGATGTAATAAAAATATTGGGTGAAATGGAAACAGGAGTGAATTTCTGGTTCTGGTGGAAGAGGCTCATCAGAGAAAAGATACTATAAAGTGTTTTTTGTACCAAAATAACAATAAAGATTATTGATAGTTGTTGCACTGTACCTTTATCCTCTCAATGCTTGCCTCTATTCTCAGCTGCTGCACCATCCGCCGGGCATTGGCGATGTTATTGGCACTGTGAGGCTTTGAAGACATCCTGGGTTAAAGAACACTGAAAGAAAAACAACAGAAAGAAGTGTGAACGACACGGAAGAGAATGAGATGTCAATATTCAGCACAATCTGCACATCGAGCAAAAATGGAATCAGACGTACATAAATGAAAAATTATAAAATTTTTGTTTTCTGGAGCACAGATAGAAAATGGTTGTGAAGCTACTGAAATCAGGCGTTTAATATGTTTTTAACAGTAAAGAACTGGAATGGCACTCAATAGGGTGCATACCTCTGCCAAGGCCCAACAGTCCCCTGAAATGTAATCAAGCTGCAAAAAATTTCACACACTCAGAAATATCAGTTCCCCAAATATGTCTGATTTTTCTATTTACTATACTTTTTATCTATGAATTATTCCAAGGAAAAATAGCCTTGTGACATTTAAGATGTGAAAAAACTGGATCCGCCTTCTGATCCAGATCTGCGTCAATATTTACTAGGTTCCTCCCTGACTTAAACCACATCCTTCCACCAAGTTTCGTGGTAATCTGTTCAGTTGTTTTGGTGTAATCTTTCTTACAAAAAAACGAAACAACTAAAAACACACAGGGAGGAAACAGCAAGTTATTCAAACAGGGAAAGCACCTCAACACTGTCCCTGCAGCAGGAGAGACGTTTGTTTCAGATTACAGGAGGAGCTTGACTAGATGGCAGAGTAGTTTTGTGCAAGAACCATCTTGAATCAGATGAAAACCAGCTGGTTGAATAAACAGAGAACACAGGCCATGACGGAAGAGTGTGAATGATTAAACTACAGTTACATGAGGTGGATGCGTTATAAACAATAGAGATGTTGGTTTAACAAGAGTCAACAACAAACCCTCACTACTTCCTCTTCTGCAGCATTGTTGTTACCAGTAGTGACGTCAGCTCCAGGGAAACACAAAGCTGAGGGATCATGCAATTTCTTTTTTTTTAACTGTTAAAAAAAGGGGACACAATTATAAACCGCCTGGAGCAGTGCATTATCCATGACAATGACTGACAACCTGTGTATGTTGCTGGTGTCTGATCCAACGCAACAGAGGGTTGTGATTCAACTTCCTGCTAATCATTTACAGAGTGCAGGGAACAAGCCCTGACACATCCTCCTGTACATGTGTAGATCCGACTCCAGCCATTCTCCCTCATGCTCTTGCTTCCCTTTATTGGCATTTGTCGGTTTCTCATACAAAACACATATTTCCTTTTCTGCAATAAACCACACACACGTTTTTTTGTAATACAACTTTTCTCAGCAGGGAACAGGAAACGTTAGGCTTCAGTTTCTCAGAAGTTTATTGTGAAATCGATGACAAAAGCTGCTGCAGGAGCTGGGGTTGAATTTATAAATGAAAATCAGTGGTTTTCTGTTGCATGCCGTGTTTTTATTTTGCACATTGTTCAAATTGTTCCATATATGGTTGCTCCAAATACATCTTTCAGGTTGGTGCACATAACTCAGTCACGGTGCCTAACATGCATGAACTTAGAACAGCCCTAAGCCATTTTTAAAAAGGTTGGATATATGTTTATTTTGTTCCACCCTGTCTGCACCCCCTTCACCCTGCAGGATGTCATCCCTCAAGACAGCGTCTGATGCTGCAGCTGGATCGTCCGGCTCTTCTTTTGTCTCAGGAACAAACAGTAATGGAGACAAACACACGGAAACGGGAAGGATAAGGAAAATCTCAATTTTCAGACCACTGCCTGGGAGTGGTTGATTGGAGAGAATGTCTCAAGATCTAAAAGATAAGTAATTGCTGTAAAGGAAACAGCCAGAGATGACTCAAAGAGCTAAACTGTTATTGATAATGTGCAAGTAAAACATGAAAGGGCATGAATTACAATGCAAAGTAAACTATCATCTCATGCAAACATTCTCCCAGCTTAGTCATAAAGTTGAGGCCCCACAGGTGAAAGAAATAAAGTCCTTTCATCTGAACGTGATGAGTGATTGTATTCATTCCTATAGTCTGGACTCTGGAAGGGTCTTTTCAAAGAAAGGAAGAAAGAAAGAAAGTAGGAGAGCCTGCTTAGAAGCAGCTGTTGTTTAAATGCTGCAGAGTCATTGTCAATTAGAAATGAGATCACATATAGGTGTGAATCTGTGAATCGGATTCTTGAGATGTTTTTTGCAACCATAAAAATGTCCATTCTGGAAGTAAAAGTAGTCCACAGGAGCCGGGACTCAAAAGATATATTTATGACGTTATTACCTAGTGTATTTATTTCAGTGATAAGGAGAGGCATGTGCAACAGTAATGAACTTAATGACTTTCGTGGCTGACTGTCTTGTTTTTCTTTTGTTTGCGAAAGTCATTAGCTGCTACCAGGTAAAAACGTAGGGCTCCTGGCATTACCAGCTGAGCTAGATGATGAAGTTTATAATTTGTGTGACATGCAAACACAGCACAAAAGCTGCTGATCCAGTGCAACAGTGAATTAAAAGATAATATGAGAAATGCACGGCAGGGCTGCAGCAGAGAGGAACCTCAAGCATGACTTTGAATACATTGGATGCCCTGTTGTGTTAAAGTGGGAGATTATAAAGCACTACACTACATCCTGCAAAGTTAGGGTCACATGATGGGGGAGTCGAGCTAGCGCCCTCACTACTGAGCTTGAATGCGGACTGTGATGAAGCATAAAACTATGTTGTTATTATAACATTTTAAAATGGGCATATTTCCGGAGAGATTGATAATCAAAAAGGAAGTTTGTTGTATTTTTATTGTTGGGACTTTGAGCGTTTTTTTCTTCTTCACTATCTGATATATCTGCAGATTAACGATTTTGCTCAGCGACAGATTCACTCACTAAAGCCGTTTTCAGACAACTCTGGAATTTGTCTTTCCTATATGGAGAACGCAGCAGGAGATTGAGCGGGTCTGATGCTTTCGCAACAACAGGAACATTTCCAGAACATTCAGGCGAGGGGTGGCGAGGGAGGATGAGCATTCAGTAAGAAAGAAATGACGTATAAATTCCACTGCATCGACAGCACATGGACACCAGCCTTAATCACCAAAATGAAAGTCTCAACTGGTCTCAAATCTCATTGTCATTAGAAGTTGACATCTTCATCTGCGTCTACTTTCTACGTGTATGCCGCCTCTTTTCCATTCTTCATCCTTCATCTTTTAGTTTTAAAAATGTCATTAATACGCCGACACGCTCACTGTGAATTTTCCGGACTTTTTCCGACTGTATTCTCATATGGGCTCACTCAATATTTTACAAGGATATTTACTAGGATATTTTACTGAAGAAACTGACCTGTACATTTGTGTTCTCATGTACAGGCCCTCCAGAAACTTTTCAGGAAAATGTCCAGACTTCAGTAGATGTCTGAAAACAGTTTAATAAGATTTCCTTTTTTCGGTGAATTACACACAAGTCATTGTACAGAGGATTTTGAAGAATAGTTCTATTATGTATTTATACAGATTGACAAACTAGCAAAGGAAATGAGAAATAGCTTTCTGATAGCTGTGTCCGTCTGATTTGAGCATGAGATGCAAGTGGGAAAAACTCTCCACCACAGCTGTAATTTAAGATGGAGTAAAGCCAGAATGGATAGTTTACTACTCTGTGGCGCCAAAATATCAGTTGAACCAGCATGTGAAGTGGGAGAAACGGGTAGGTCTTAAATCACGCTGGCTCTCACAAGTGATTTTTACAGGCAAACTATCCCAACTGAGTCACCTCAGTCAAACTGTGAAGCCCCTGTGAAGTGATGCCAGCAACTACCAGCACCACCGGTCTGACTGAAACTCTATGGGGAGGGGCACCAGAGTGTGTGTGTGTGTGTGTGTGTGTGTGTGGCATTAAACACCACCATGTACATTTAGGAGCCGTGCAAAAAAATAGTTACCTCCAAGGATCAGAAAAAAGACCACCCCATCACAATACACACACATATACAGCAGCCAGGAGGACCACCTACTGCACAGAGCACCGAGGCCCCACTGCTCTGCTGTACCTTACACACACAAACCCCCCCGCACATATGCCATTCATTAGCAGTGTGTTCAAAGTGCCAAGAACAGGGAGCCATTATGAGGCAGTGCCATTAACACCAACACTCAGAGATGAAAAACACACGCTATGTGTGTGTGTGTACTTCTATCGTTGTGAGGACTAGTTTGAGTTAAAGAGATGCCTAGTTTAGGGTTAGTATGAGGGTTAGGGTTAACATTTAGTTGTGATGGTTAAGGTTAGAGTAAGGGGCCAGATAAAGCATTATGTTGATATGTCAAGTCTCCTCACAAAGATAAAAGTACAAGTGTGTGTGTATCCACTGCTGCTGTACTGCAGTTCCAACCCGAAAAGACCTTTTAAAATTTGCTGCTGACGAATTAATGACATCCATTAAAAAGCAACAAGAAGAGTCAGTCCTGTCAACTGTACAGTATGTGTGGTCCCTCCACTGAGCATCTGAGGCCTTTCAGACTGCGGCAGCTTTTGTAATAAAGTAGCCTCACTGGAAATAAACTGCTTTAGGGCTTAAACATCGCCTGCTGCACTTAAGACGTGACTGACACAAGGTGATGAGAGGCAGGCTATAGGATCATACTCTATCCACATTCAAACCCTTCCATTTAGTTCACCCCAAGATGACAGATTAGTTATTTTCTCCAAGACCATGCAACCTTGTAAGGACTATAAATCCCAGCAAGTTCGCACCCTTAGTATAATTTTAGGGGAAAAACAATAATGGACACAGATAATTTTTTCTGTAGCCTCATTGATGTCAATAACTAGGAGTTATGCAGGAACACGGGTTAGACATATAAAAGGAAAAGCCGACAACAACACTATTTAAATTTGTACAAGAATAAAACAAACAGCCACATCAATGAAGTGCAATTAACAAGTAGGAATGAAGAGGTGCATGCAGACAGGCTGCATATTTCCCACTCCTCAGCAAGGTAATGAACTTCTGTGTCTCGTGTGGAAAACTACCTGCACCATGTGCAGCATGAAATCAGACAGTGGAGTAATTATCATTTAC